GTGGTGATGCAAGATTGGGTCTCTGCTCCCACAGCCCGTTGGGCTGTTCGGTGGTGGATCATGTTCAAACATAGTGCTACTGAGTTTCAGGTTCCTGCTCGTAGATTTATAGGCTGGTAATATTACAAGCTGCCTGGTTCTTCCCACCTGGACCTGGAGGGTGAACAATGCAGCTCTTGAGCCAAAGAAAGAGAAGCTCTTCCTGAGGACTTTGTGTGTGTGTGTGTGTGTGTGTGTGTGTGCATGTTGCTCCGTTCCCAGTGGATAAGGACAGTCAGTGTGCGTGTGTAGGGCAGGGGCAAGTGGGTGTGGGGCTGAGCCACACCTGCGCTCCAAGCAGAAGAATATAAAGAACCAAGATAAATATAAAATAAATATAAAAATATCTATGAAAAGAGGTAAAGGATTGTGGGAAGGGGTCCCTACATATTAGCCCACTGGATTTTCCCTCACCAGGCTCAATGCAAGCATCCTTGTGCCATATGAAGAAACTGAGGCATATGTAGATCAAGTTAAGGAAGAGGCATCAGGTCAAATCTAGATCTTTCTAAAACTCCCTCATTGTTCTTTTTGTCGTCAAAACATCCCTGGGTAAGGCAAATGTCATTGTCCTGTCCCAGGTTTTCTGATGAAGAAACGGAGGCTTGGGGGTGCCGAGTGCTTTGTATGAGGCAACACAGTGAGTGAAGCCCACGCACAGCACAGCGCCCTCTAAGTTCCCTCTGAACGCATACAGGGTGATTACGACTAACTGGTCTGGCGTCTCCCGCTCTGCACTTTCCTACTGGGCCACACCCCTCTGCCGATTTCTTCCCCATAGGTGACTCCCTGCTCCTGAGGAGAAGCCAGTCTCCTCTCTCCTCAGATGATTTGTAGTTTCTGAGGAAAGAAGTGTAACAGAGATCCCCTGCCCAGCAATGCCCCTCCGGAGATTTATAATCTGCACCACTCCTAACTTCCCCTCTTGGATACATAGGCTGCCCTTGGTGATTCAAAAGGTTCATATGTCCTGCTGCTAACCGAAACATCGAAGGTTTGAGTCCACCCAGAGGTACTTGGGAGGAAAGACCCAGCGATCTACTTCCAAAATATCAGCCAATTGGGACCCCTCTGGAGCACAGTTCTACCTGACACATAGGGTTTCCACAAGGTAGAATCAACAGCAACTGACTGACTAGGTCCGATCTATAAACCTTATCTAGAAATTTTCTTGGCAAATCATAGTGCTTCAGACAGACCTGCTCTGCTCCCATCATCTGGGGAAAAAGACAAGAGCTTTGACCTTTCATGTGATTGTGGTGTGTGTGTGAGTGTGCGTGTGTATGTGTGTTCATGATGTGTAAGTTTTCACTCCGGTACATGGTGTTTGTTGTCAGCAGATCAGCCGCTGACTGGCTTTGTGCTACCTTGGTCCTGAATTCACTAAGTCCCACTGCCCTTTCCAGCTCGATATCCTATGAATGCAGCAGTGGCTCGCTTTCTCAACTCCAAGTTAAGTAACTCCAGTTCCTATAACCTTTCACTGTTAAGCACATTTTCCAATCCTTTAATCATCCTGGTTCTTTTCCTCTGAACTCCCTCCAAGAGACCGATGTCACTGGATAAGCATGCCATATACTAAATTAGTCAGTAAATCAGTCTGTCAGCAATGCTTCTTGAGCAATCACTCTGTGGTTTGCAGTAGGCGCTGTGGTGCTACAATCCAACCGCACAGGAACAAAAGGGTTTTCACGTTGGTGCCGACCTAGGGTTCACTTGTCCAGCAAGGACCTGAGGCATTGAAGATGTGCTGTGGGAAGACAGAGGTCCATCCCCGGAAGACTCAGGTTTTCTTCCAAACATTAATGTTTAAAGATTATTTAAGTCAACATTCATTGGGTGCCTGCTCATCTTAGATGCCCATGTGAGGCCCTGTGAGAGTTATTACCAAATGAACCGAATGCAGTCCCTATGCACAGGACAAGGGGCATGTGCACGAGTGGTGCGCAGGGAAGACACAGAACCAACTGGAGTTAAGTGGCCCCTAACTGGGGGTGTAAATGGCTAACTTGCTCGCTACACATAGAAAGGTTGACATTTGAGCCCACCTAGAGGCACTCAGAAGAAAAGTCCAGTGTTCTGCTTTTGGAAAATCAACCACTGCCAACCTCCTGGAGCCCCGTTCTACTCTGATACACACTGGGTTGCCATGAGTTGGGGCCGACTGATGGGCAATTGGTTGACAAGTGGGGAACTAGCCAACCTCAAGGCTGCAGAGGGGACTCTGGGGTTAAGATGTGGGCTGTCCTGAAAAGTTTCTCTCTCTCTCTCTTTTTTTAACCACCACATGTAGAATGATCAATAATAAAGTGAAGTAGCCAACAGAATTCAGAATTTGGAGAAAAACATACTTTTATTTGAATAGTGATTTTATCCTTTATTAGCTGGGTGAAACTTGGGCAAGTTATTTATTCTTCCTGTGCCTCAGATTCTTCAAGGATAACATGGGATGGTTGTACTTACCAGGTAGGATTGTTTAAGTTTAGATGAGATTGCCTTTGTCGAGCGTATAATTTCCTTTCTTTTCAACAACTCATTATGGATCATTTTGGAGAAATTCTTAGCTCTTCTGAATGGATCTGTATTAACAGCAAAACCATTCGTTGGTGTGTTACTCTGGGTTGATTAGAGAAACAAATTCATAGACACTCATGTGTGTGAGAAAGAGCTTTACATAAAAGAGCAATCGTGTATTGAGAAAACATCCCATCCAAGTCCAGGTCAAGTTCATAAGTCTGATATTAGCTCATATGCCTGATACTAGTCCACAAATTCTTCTTTAGACTCATGCAACACATGCAATGACGCTGAATGCAGGAAGAGCACAGGTCACTGGGTGGAAAGTCTAGTGCATCCAGTTGTGGTTGAAGCATCTCAGTGCTGGAGTGGGTCTCCACATGGCTCCTCCAGCTCCAGAGCTCTGGCTCTATCAGTGTAGCTCCATGTGGCTTGTCAACAGGGATGTCTCACAGAGAGTGTGGGTCTGGCTTCCAGGGAGGTATTTATCTCTATAGCCCCACCAAATGAGGTCATCAAGCTGCGACCTGAGTGATAGGCTAAACTCCACCCCTTCACTCTTAATAGTCTCAAGTTGACACCAAATTATGTAACTTCCAGAGTTGGATTATAAGTTCCATCAGTCTACTATGTAATATGTATAATAGTGCTGACCCTAAAACACTTCTTTCAAGTTCTAAGGGCAGCCTTGTGTTTCTGGTATCTTGTAAGCTTCAGAACTTTAAATCACCTGATGTAATCATAACATTTACCCTGGTAGGTGGAAGTTCAGTTCTAGGTTAGCCTCAGTTTGCTCTATTAGAAAGAGTACTTGGTCTTTGACATGGCTGAAATGCTGGGCCACTTTGAACAAGTCACAGTTCTGGTGCAAAGCAATGATTCACAAACCTTGGGGTGCAGCAGGATCATCATGAGGTTTCATAAAGCACAAATGGCTGTCCCACCCCCACCCCCACCAGCATTTCTGATTCAGTAAATTGGGGTATATCCTGGCAGTTTGTCTTTTGAAGACAAGTGATGCCGAGACTGCTGATCCAGGGACTAAACTGTGGTAACCACCTACAAGACAAAGAACAGCAGTGGTGCCTGGGCAGCTGGATCAAGCCGACTCTCCTGAGCCTCTTCCCTTATTTATACACTGTTACATGATCGACTAGATTAAAGGGTAGTAATTAGACAATGAATGTCATGCAGGACACTTCATAAACTATAAAAGGCAGTATAACTACTAATAATTTAGTGTCCCCCTTCCAGCTTTAATTTGCTCACCTATAAAATGGGGATAATAATAGTAATTTTTATGAGGATTACATTACTTTGCAAAACATAAAGAGTGATGTGACTATACCTCCCCACACACTTCAACTAATTCATCCATAACAGGAGAGGATTGAACCCCTTCCAGGAGGACAAACAACCCAAGTCTGGTGATATGGTAGTGGCTACATGGACTCCCCTCTCTGCTCAAAGCATAGCTGGAGACTGGCAACCGTGGCATCATGGGGGATCGAAGTACTAGTGCAGTCTACAGAATCAAATTAATTTTAAACAAGAGTTTCTGGTGATTTCAATGCATATTAAAGCTTGAGAAGCCCTTGTCTTCATCCTTGTTCGGAGAAAGATTATACATCAGAGCTCTAAGCTCAATAGGAAAGGGTGTTATGAGTGATTGTTGATGTCTGCCAATGAGACCAGAAGGAATGTGACAGTAATTCCAGATGTTTGTCTTGCCAGGGGTGTCCCTGGGTGATGCAAATGGTTAAGCAATTGGCTATAGTCAAAAGGTTGGGGTTTCAAGTCCACCCAGAAATGTCTCAGAAGAAAGACCTATGCCAGAGAAAACAGCCACTGAGACCCACAGGGAACACAATTCTACTCTGGTACACATGGAATTGCCATGATTTGGAATTGAGTCTGCAGATACTTTTTTCTTTCTTATTTTTGTCTTGCCTGAACTCGATAGTCTCTGGACACTTAATTTAATGTTGACTAAATCTATGAACTCCCACTTGCCTGTCAGTTTGTCATACTGTGGTGGCTTGTGTGTTGCTGGAAGCCATCTTTTATTTCAAATACAAGCAGGGTCACCCAAAATTTCAGTGGAGCTTCCAGACTAAGAACAGACTACAAAGAAGGAAAAGGCTGTCAACTTCTGAGACATTAACACTGAGAACATTATGACTAGCAGCAAAACATTGTCTGGGCTGGAAGACACCAAGAAATAGAAATAGGAAGAGAATATGCCTCAAAGTCAAGTCTGCCATAATAATGTGGATCTAATAAAGCTATAGGAATCTTCACTTGTTAATGGAGCACAACTCACAATACGAAGGAACAGCTGCAAACAGCCATTGACAATCAGAACATTGAATACATGAAGTGTGAGTCTAGTAAAATTGGGAGTATTCAAAAATGAAATGGAACACATAAAAATCAATATCCTTATACTTATCTGGCAGGGGAGATACCATGATCATGAAGGTGGTTTTCCCAGGGTGAGGCTCACCCATTGCACTCCAGATGTGCTGACCCTTGCGATTTCCCCAAATGTGGGAAACTCGACTGCATAATTTGTGGTAGTGGGGGACTGCGTTTGCGCTATCCCCTAGGGAAAAAAAAATCAATATCCTAGGCTGAACTGAAATGGACTGGTATTGGCCAATTTAAATCAATTATATGGTTTAGTATATGGTGAATGTCAAGTACAAGAGGAATAACGCCACATTCTTCATTTAAAAAAATTCAAGATTCATCTTGAATTCTGAGATAGGATAGTATCTACACATCAACAAATAAATGCAGTCAGTACAATTATTATTCAAATTTATGTACCAACCACTAAAGTTAGTGATTAAGAGATTAAAGAATCCTGCCACATTCTATGATGCTCACCTTCCCAACACAACCGCTGAAGACAAAGCAGGCAAATAAGCAAATGTGGTGAAGAAAGCTGATGGTGCCCGGCTATCAAAAGATATAGCGTCTGGGGTCTTAAAAGCTTGAAGGTAAGCAAGCGGCCA